TCCCTGAAGAGACGAAACCGGAAATGGAAATGGACCTAATTCTATTGATCTTCACACGTCAGGAGCCAACGAATAGGAACAGATTTGCCAGGAAATGAATTAAAATTTAGTCCTTCAGGCGGGTAAAGGAGAAGTGACAGTGATAATCGACAAAAAACAATACACCAAGAAGATAAAATATATTCTAAGAGACAGGACCACATATCGTATACTTAATAAGGACCCAACTATGAAGATCAATGGAATGATAGGGTACATGCTGAATGATACGAATAGTAACGGAAAAATTGACGCATTAACAAAAATGCAATCATAAGAAAGGATGCACGGCTACCAATAGCCTACAGATTACCGAAGATACACAGAGAAGGCTAGCCAATAAGGCTGAGAGTGAACAACAAGTATGGAGCAAAACACAAATAGGCAAATTTCATAGGTTTGAAACTCAAGAAATTAAATGAGAGGCTATCAAACACGGTGAAATATTCATATGAATTTTCTCAAAAAATCAAAAAATAGCACTATAATAAACAGAATAATTGCAAAGTTTTGATTTTGAATCCATGTATAAAAATAACTCTGGAGAAAATGCTCTTACGGTTCTTCTGGAAATCCTGGACGGAATGGAAGATATCCTGGAATCACAACGGGTCGGTAAGGAGACTAATCAACTTGACAATATGGACGAACTATTTTACATTTAACGTTACCATCTAGGAATAAATATTTGGACTTCCAATTTTATCGCCGCTCTAACCACTTTTGCCGAACGTATACATGAACAAATTAGAAGAGAACTTCAAGATGTCACCGCTACAACCAGCAGTGCTCATGCGCTACCTCGATGATTACTTCGCACTTTGTTCACATGGAAGAGAAAAAATGTAAGATTTTCTGAAGTCTATAAACCAGATTAATGAAAAAGTTAACTTCACGATGGAAGTAGAGAAAGGTGAGAAGTTACCGTTCAGAAAGAAGTCTCATTCCAGTCCATCACAATTACATGCTAAAGATAGGAATAATGAGGAGCATGATCATCCGAAGCCTACGCTTAACAGATGTAGAATGCTGGGACGAGGAGCTGGACAAATTAACGAGGATATTCCTAGGCAACGGCAATCCTAGCGAAGTGATACAAAGAAATATGTGGGCCGTGTAAAGCCGATGGCAGAACGGGGACCATGAAATAACAGTAAGGACCGAGAAGGATTCCCAAAAGTGGATATGGCGCGAACTAATTCAAAAACTACGGCCAACATTAAGGAAATGGAATATTCGGATGGCCATGAAAGAAAAATCGACACTTTTTGCACGTTTACCGACGCAAAATGAAAATGTAGACAAATTGGATTGTTTATGAGCTTATTCTATAGAATGTGGCGCCTATGAACGCGGCGAAACAGAGAGAAAAATTAGGATACGAATCAAGGAACACCTTCGAAAGATCAGAATTAACGGAACATATCGCACAGAGTGGACACGAGATTAATCGGAAGGCGATAGAAAGAAGGGCCTCATACAGTACCAACAAAGGGAAGCGGAAGATTAGGGAGGCAATTGACATCGTTGGGGAGACAAATCTAATGAACAGGAGATTGGAGGAAGGTAGAGTTAGCGATGACTTTGCCTACTGCTTAAGCAAACTCGGGGACAACAAGAATACAGCAAGACCAGGAAAAAGGAAATGCCTGGGTCAGGGATCTATTGCTAGCTGGAGGAAAAGGGATCGCGATAAGAAAAGGGAAGATGGGGCGGGGATTTTCGGCAACAAAAAAAGACGTTGTCAGTGCGTGATGTCTGTTCGAATAAACCGGTACAAGATTGGAGGCCTAACAGTCAAGGAGCTGGGCAGACGGACAAGCAAACCGTAAGAGAAATTCGGCGTTATCGCCAAAATAGACTAGAAATCTACTTGAGATGCAGCTTGCCGCCAGAGATAGGCTTTCACAGTGGTAATATGGGTTTAGTCAAGGAGACGACCAGTGAGCGCAACGCCTGATGTCTGCAAGCATGGGAATCAGAGACGGCAATGCATGTGCTTATAGCGCCTTGAGAAATGGCGCCCGGAGTAAAATTCACACTGGGACTGAAACCGAGTGAAATTGGGCAACCAGAAAGAGTGAGGGCCAATGTGAATAGCAGGTGAGATGAGGTCACAGTAGATTAGCCACAAAAGGGCACACATTTAGACGAGTGGAATGTAAACACGCCAGAAGTTGTGATAGGGCGGGAGTTGGATAAAAGTATAAAGAGTAGATAGATGGACCAGGACAGAAATCGGAGTGATAGTGTAACCGTTTCCGGCAGAACTTTGGTCGAGGGATTGATTTCACTTGACTCTTTGACAAGTTTGTAGCTTGGTGCGGAGAATGGCAAGACTGAATGTTGATGTCGACTACGATGTCGGCGAAACGTCTGAGAATGTTCCAAGTCCACGGTCTGATGCCAGAAATTATGATGACTACTATGTCAGAGGACTTCGGACAAGTTGCGTTCTACTAAGTCGCCCTGACAACAAGA